GTTGAAGAAAAGTAGAAGCAACGCGAAGAAAGAAAGAAGAATTTAAAATTTATGGGGGAGTTTTGTTGGGATAAATTTTAAATGTCCGTTTTTTAGCAGTTTTGGTTTTTTAGTTTCTTGTGTCAGTTAGAATATTAATGAGTCAGTTGTGTAGTTAGAATATTAATGAGTCAGTTGTGTAGTTATAAAGTAATGAGGGTGTTATGTGTGGAGTTATGTTGGTCAGTTTTATAGCTTATAAATAGCCTTTGATAGTTTGTATGAAATGTAGATCAAAAGATCAAAAAGAGCAAGAAAGCAAGAATAGAATAGAAAAGTTTTTTTGTAGATACACAAGTATGGTTGTCTCTTGCATATGTGTGGATATTCAATTCTAACAGATATAAGTATGGACTTATTGTAATTTTGCTTGAAATATAGGTTCCTTCGGAGATTTGCAGGCTGTCTAATATCTCAGCATCATATTCTTATCATCATATGACTCAGAAAAAGCACTATATATGAAGATAAAGTTAGTAAAAAGACAATAATATTTATATTTTAGGCTGCTGATGCTAGGGATGTTTTCCTAGATCATTTCCGTGAGCAACTTAAAGGGTTGTAGAAAAGTAGATGCTTCATATTGCAGCAATATGTTGATTGTATGCTTCCTTGACAAGGGAAAATCAATGAATAAAATAAAATAAAAACAGGATAGATTATTTTCTTATCTGGAATGATTACGGATGACTGGTGATATAAACCAGGTTGAATTCAATCCGTGCTATTTGAATAGATATGCAAACCACGTTGCTCTCAATGGAGTTCCATGGGTTGCGAAAACATGTTGAGCTCCACGAGTTGTGAACCCATGTTGATCTTCATGAGCTCCATAAGTTGGTGGATGGATTTATAGATGTTGCCTATCCCTCCACTGTGGCTGTTAACTTTCCCATATGCATAATATATGTGTTAAACCACAAACCTAATTGATGGTTGAGATGCTTTGTCAAGCGCTGCTTTGCACTGATTTATGTATGATGATCAACTGAATGTTGCCTTTACTTTCCTGCTTACATAGTCGTTGCACACTCTTGAGCTGGATATGGATCTTATTTATTTAATAGTTTATCCACTCCAAGACAATACTTTGTGAGACCGAGGCCGAGGTTGCTCATGAAATCTTTGATATCTCAGACAAATATACATAGACCTGGTTGGCTTCATCATGGATTCATTCTTTTGCTGGCCCACATGCTTTTATGAAAGACTATGCAAGTATTCATACTGCAATTTTATTATTCATTCCCATCACATTTTTCCATGAAAAACAGAAGATGCAAGCTCGAACAAACACGCTGTAACTGGGTTTAGCATTTTGGGTTCCAAGACAAGCCTCGGTGCAAGACAAAAAATGAGAGGAATTGCATGGCATACGCTGTTTCTGAACCGTTGTTGCTGTCACTGAATTATGGCTTGTAGTGATGGTTTAAACTGTGTAATTTTATTTCCTTGTAGAAGCCATATATTCGCCAGTCGGCGCTTTAACGCTGCTCATGACAGTTGATACCTACATTCCTTGTACATGTCGCTAAGTCAGGTGAATAGGAGCTATTGCCAAAGAGCTAGAATAGGAACCTCGCTAGATGCAAGGTTTATAATAAAATCCTTGAGCTTCATCGCTTCATGCTAGAAGAGCCTGTGCCTTTGTGCATCTTTTATTACCGCTATGACTCTAATAATACGGTGCTTGTGGTCAGCTCCCATTGAATAACATATCTCATCGTGGGCTTTTGATCAACAAGAAGGATTGATATTTTCTTCATAGAGGACTGCACATCTTATCCTTTGTCAAAATAGGATCATTGCATTGGGCCTTCAAAATAGGCAACACGTTATCTGCACTTAACTTATCCAGGTTGCCAATAATCACAAGAATATTTGCCATTCAAACCAGTAAAATCACAGCTTGCAGATAATGAAGGTCTTACATGATTAGATCGCTGTGATATTTAGTGTGAAATTAATAGCATTGATATCACCATGATTTATGATTGATATTTAATGCTGAAAAAACGCACACTATTTTTAAATGTTAAAAGAAAAGTCTTGTTGTCTTGATGTTACTTTCCTTTATGTGCTGTTATGGTGTTGATAATATACAGATCTGGTTCCAACAAATAGCCATAATTTACATGCAATATCTTATATATTATTGATTTTTTCAATGCCTGCATGTGTCGGTTTGGCATCATTTAAGTTAAAACCCATATAACCGGGAAAAATAATGCCAATCAAATACATGAAAACGAGAATCTCGTGCCATCATCTTAAAGATCGTATACAAATGTGGAGCCACGAATTTTTGATATATTAGTAGCAAATTAGATAAAGATGAAATATGGCATTATGTACCCCAAATTTGATAAAGATGAGCTGACACAGTGACACGTAACAACTCCAATCAAAATCAAGTTGAAAACGTGTACGTGAACTTGCCAAATTGGAGTAATATATTAAAAGGAGATTCTGAATATTTAATAAATATTGAATCATGTTTCGGGGGTGGCTTTTTTAATTCCATCTTCCTAAAATTCTCGGCCCATCATATATAATAGTAATAAAAACTTGATATTATAGTGGACCTTTGTTTTAAATTTCAAAAGAGTATATCCAAATAATATTAAAAGGATGAATTCTTTTATCATATATCCACATAAAATATTAAAAAGGGTGGATTCTTTTCTCCCGCAAATTAAAATTAGACAAAGGAGAAAAACTTAGCTTTTGTCCTTTGCTTGATTTGTTTCCTTTTTGTTAGACCCGATCTTTGACACAATCAAGGTCCCGGTCTCCATCTCGACGATGGTGGTGGTGGTCATCATTTCGATCTTAGCACCAATCTTATCTCTATCTCGGTTTCGTCATGCTTGCTAAAGTAATTGTGAATTCCGATCTTGAAAGGTTGATAAGCATCATTTTTTGGATTTTGCACCCATCGTCTTAGGATTTAGATGTGGCGGCGGTTGCTGCCTTTTCACCACTATTGGGGTAGGGATAGAATTCTATCGTCCCCACAGACGGCGCCAATGTTATGTCTGAAAGACAGAGATGTCCAACCGGTGGCTGGTATATTTTATGTAGGATCTAGGTGTCCTCTCTCAAGTATCTATGAATGAGATACCCTTGAGGGTAGGCTGATCACTGTGCACAATAATAATAATCGACATAGTCAAGACGTGGGATGTGTACACAGTGACAAGCTAAGAGAGAGGGTTTAGAGAGTGTGTATCTTATTGGTTTAACCCCGTATTTATAGAGGGGTTACCTGAAGGAGTGTACTTTTGGGCCTCTTAGGAATATTGGGAGCCCAAGTCCAACTGTTTAGCTGTCTGGATAGGATCGTCATCAGTAGGAGATTCTCTTCCTTTTGTGATGTCCTTTATTGGTCCTTCTAGAATATGGGCCTTTCTCAGGTCCATAACAGTTATAAAACTCTCATAACGAAAAACAAAATCTCCAAGGTTTTCAAGATCAATTGCAAAAAATTTCAAACGAAATTTTATCATGAACTTTAGGTTCTATATGCAAATTTAGAAATATTTTTATAATTAAAAAAAATTGGGTCTTATAATCATATATGCATAGCTTTGATACCAAATGAAGAAGATAATTTTCAACCCATTAGATATGTGAAAAGCTGTTGTTTAGTAATTTTGAATGTTTGTTAAAAATTATATTATGTTTTACTGATTGAGAAAATCATATTAGGTTTTACTTTTTTTTATTAATTTCATTGCATTTCTTTGTTATTTTTTTATGGGGAAGATTATACTTACAACATATTTTTGTTTACAACCTTTTACAACCATATTTTAACCGTTGATTTCCGTCAATCAATGGTTATTATTTTCGCAAATCAAACTCATTAATTAATATTTAATTTGCAATGAATGATAACCGTTGATTGACGGAAATCAACGGTTAAGATATGATTGTAAACAAAAATAGATTTTAAGTATAACCTTTCCCTTTTTTATTGACTCTTGTAATTTGGATGTTTGTAAAAAATTCATATGGTTTTTTAAAATCTTATAAATCTATATTGTCCTTTCAAATCTTATAAATTCTATTAAAATCCTTTAAAATTCAATCTTATGAAATTTTTATTGTAAAAAAAGTTTTTAAAGTCTCCGCAATTCTAAATAGTCTTTTAAAATTTATAAGATTTTTTAGCTCAAAAAAGTCTTTTAAAATCCTAATCCAATACACCCCCTTATAATTTGTGCCTACACAATGCTAACAGATCAAGTGAGTCTAAATTATTTTATACAGGACTTACTTATTTAAGTCAAAACCTAGTTCAGCCTAGTCTATTTATATCCCTATAATCTTTCTTTCTCTCTCTTTCTCATTTTATGGAGAAGAGAGAATATAAAAAGGAAAAATTGAGAGAAGATAAAAAAACTACCAAAATACTGTAGTTTCCAATGTTGTTAAAATCGAGATTTTAAGTAAAATCGGAAATGGATTAAAAAATCGTAAAACGTAAAATCGTAATGTAAAAAAATCGTAAAAACGTAAAAGAGTTTGGAATATTGGTAAAATCGTTTTGATGAAAAAATCGTAAAAACGTAAAATCGTAGTGATAAATCAAGATTTTGACAACTATGGTAGTTTCATTTAAAATGACACAAATTTATGTCCCTTCGGAATGACAAATATTTTTGCCTAAAAATATATATACAGAAGAAAGAAAAATATTTATCCTTTTAAAAAATAATTATTTTGGTTGAAACTACTATTTTTTATTTTATATTTAAATTAAAAAATAAAACTTTCACTTCTTCCTACTATGATTTTTATTTCACTTATTATAAAATATAATAATTTTGACTGGTATAATTTTATATCTTTTATAAGGAGAAAGAATAATTCCTATATAAAAAATCTGATATTTAAGCATTTTCTAACTACCAGTTCAAAATTCTAGTATACTGAAACTGAAGTGAAGTCTGGTAATGGCTTGTGTGGCGCCACAACCTCTGTCATGCCATTACCATCGAAAACTCACCATTCAACAAAGAACCACTTGGGCATGGAACAACATAAAACCCTTTCCTTCATTTACGATTCCAAAATTATCATCCCCTTCTCTCACAACACACAAAACGGACTCACCCACTTACTCTCAGTCACAGTGCCATGTACCTTATCTCCAACGCTTACGCAATCTCTGCGACGCTGGGAACCTCAACGAAGCCTTCAACTTGCTTCAATCACATTTCCACAACGGCGTCGTTTCCTCTTCAGAAGCAATTAGTGTGTTGCTACAAGCCTGTGGGCACCACAAAGACATCGAGCTTGGCCGAAGAGTGCACGCTATGGTCTCTGCGTCCTCGCAGTTCAGCAACGACGTCGTTCTCAACACCCGCATTATCACAATGTACTCCATGTGCGGTTCACCCTCGGATTCACGCTCCGTTTTCGACGCGTTGCAGAAAAAGAACTTGTTTCTTTGGAACGCGCTTCTCAGCGGGTACACCAGGAACGCGCTTTTTCGCGACGCGATTTCCCTGTTTGTTGAGTTGCTTTCCGCGACGGCGTTCGCGCCGGATAATTTCACGTTGCCTTGTGTAATTAAGGCGTGCTCGGGGCTCTTGGACGCGGGATTGGGGGAAACGATTCATGGGTTTGCGTTGAAGATGGGTCTTTTATCGGATGCGTTTGTGGGTAATGCTTTGATTGCGATGTATGGGAAATGTGGGTTTGTGGAGAGTGCTTTCAAGGTGTTTGAGAGTATGCCGAAGAGAAACTTGGTTTCGTGGAACTCGATGATGCGTGGGTATTCTGAGAATGGGCTTTTTGAAGAGAGTTATGATTTGTTTAAGGGACTGTTGAATGGCGAGGAAGCTTTGGTACCTGATGTTGCTACCATGGTGACAATGTTACCTGTGTGTGCAGCACAAGGTGAAGTGAAAATGGGGATGGTACTTCATGGTTTGGCTTTGAAACTGGGCCTTAATGAGGAACTCATGGTGAATAATTCCCTCTTGGATATGTATTCGAAATGTGGTTACATAGGTGAAGCACAAGTTCTGTTTGATATGAATGGTGACAAGAATGTTGTATCTTGGAATTCTATGATTGGGGGATACTCTAAGGCGGGAGATTTTTGTGGAACGTTTGAGCTGCTGCGGAAGATGCAGATGGAAGAGAAGTTAAGGGTCAATGAGGTGACCCTGTTAAATGTTCTGCCAGCTTGTTTAGAAGAGCTTCATCTACTGCGCTTGAAAGAACTTCATGGTTATTGTTTTAGACGTGGATTTCAGAATGATGAATTGGTGGGCAATGCTTTTGTTGCTGCCTATGCAAAATGTGGTTCACTGGTTTATGCTGAGCGTGTATTCCATGGTATGAAGGCTAGAACAGTGAGCTCTTGGAATGCACTGATTGGCGCTCATGCGCAAAATGATTTTCCAAGAAAGGCTTTAGACTTGTACCTTCTGATGACAGATTCTGGCTTAGAACCTGATTTGTTTACAATTGGTAGCCTTCTTTTAGCTTGTGCCCGCCTGAGATTCCTACACTATGGCAAAGAGATTCATGGTTTTATGTTGCGTAATGGTTTAGAATTGGACAATTTTATTGGGATATCATTACTGTCACTTTATATTCACTGTAACAAAATGTTACCAGCAAAATTATTTTTTGATAAGATGGAAAACAGAAGTTTAGTATGCTGGAATACAATGATTACTGGCTTTTCACAGAATGAACTTCCTTGCGAGGCCCTTGACACATTTCGGCAAATGCTTTCTAGTGGAATTCAGCCTCATCAGATTGCCATAATGGGTGTTCTGGGGGCATGTTCACAAGTGTCAGCATTGCGGCTGGGGAAAGAAGTTCACTCTTTTGCACTGAAAGCTCATCTCACGGAGGACAGCTTTGTTACTTGTTCATTAATAGACATGTATGCAAAATGTGGATGCATGGAACAATCTCAAAACATTTTCGACAGGATAAATGCAAAAGATGAAGCATCATGGAATGTTATAATTGCAGGATATGGAATTCATGGGCATGGACTGAAGGCTACAGAGCTGTTTGAATCAATGCAAAGCTCAGGGTGCAGGCCGGATTCTTTTACGTTTATAGGATTGCTAATGGCCTGTAACCATGCTGGCTTAGTAACAGAAGGGATAAAATATCTTGGTCAGATGCAGAGTTTGTATGGCATAAAGCCAAAATTAGAGCATTATGCATGTGTGGTGGACATGCTTGGCAGGGCAGGACAATTGAATGAAGCTTTAAAGCTTGTAAATGAGATGCCAGATGAACCAGATTCAGGGATATGGAGTTCATTGCTCAGTTCCTGCAGGAATTATGGGGATTTGGATATTGGGGAGGAAGCTTCCAAAAAGTTATTAGAGTTGGGACCAAAAAAAGCTGAGAATTATGTATTGCTGTCAAACCTATATGCTGGATTAGGAAAATGGGATGAGGTGAGACAGGTGAGGCAGAAGATGAAGGAGATTGGCCTTCTAAAAGATGCAGGATGCAGTTGGATTGAAATAGGAGGAAAGGTTTATAGATTTCTTGTTGGTGATGGATCACTTTTGGAATCAAAAAAAATTCAGCAGACTTGGATTAAATTGGAGAAAAAAATAAGCAAAATTGGATATAAACCTGACACGAGTTGTGTGCTTCATGAACTGGAAGAAGAGGAAAAGATTAAGATACTGAAGAGCCATAGCGAGAAGCTTGCAATTTCTTTTGGTTTATTAAATACGGCTAAAGGTACAACCCTGAGGGTTTGCAAAAATCTACGCATTTGTGTAGACTGTCACAATGCGATTAAATTAGTATCTAAGGTTGCTGAAAGGGAGATTTTTGTAAGAGACAACAAGCGCTTTCATCATTTCAAAAATGGATTTTGTACCTGTGGAGATTATTGGTAGTTGAAGAAGGTGTATATTATTTTTTAAATCATTAATTTGCATGAACGAGGGACACCAGAAAATTTTAATGTTGTGCAGAACTGCTTCTGCTTACCTTCCACATAAAACAGCACTTACGTTTTATTTTTATTTTTATTTTTATTTTTATTTTTATTTTAAAAATGAGCACTAACATATTTTGTTCACTGTTAAATGCAAGTTTTTGCATATTGTGTAAGTATTGAGCCCATGGCAATACGGATTAGGATCACATTTTGTATTTACAATGAAAGAAAAATACACAATTTTCAGTGAATTGAATTTGTTATATTTTCTTCCAAAGACTGTCTATCTTGAGCTTGTGACGTGATCTCTTAGAAATTTTACCAAGTGTTATAAAGAAATTTGAATAAGTGTTCCAAAAAAAAAAAAAAATTGAATAAGAGTACTCCTATTTGTACAGATTTTATCTTAATAATATTTATTATTGTTATGGACTCATATGTGAGGCCTATTTAATATAAGGCCTAATAAAGGGCAATCCAAATACAAATATGATATAATCAAAGGAGGAATATCTATCAAAGATATTAATCCAAATATGACAGCGTTAAACATGAGTTTGGGCTACTAGAAGAGGCACAGAAGCTCCAGAATCCTACTAGCCACAGGTAAACTATATAAGTAAAAGATAAGACCTACAGGTATGAGTATTCTCTCTCTATTACTGTTATGTTGCCACTGTGCACACACACCACCCCTTTGGCAAAATCGTTCTTTATTCTTAGTGCACAGTGATCTGTTGAACTCAAAGGTATCTAATTCATAGATACCTTAGAGAGAACACCTAGATTCAAAAGTAACTCACTAGCCTATTGGGCTAGACATCTCTGCCTTCAGGACAGAACATTGGCGTCGTCTGTGGAGAACGTCTAAATTGTTATTCCTACGATCACGATCAAGAATGGCGGTTCGAATCTACCGTTGAATCCTGTTGTGGAGGAGGTAAATCAACCACAAAATCAGCCTGAGCATGAGGTTGATAATTATGTTGTTCAAGTGAGTGAAGACATCTCAAATACAGCCTCTACACCCGCTCCACCAAATAATTCTCAAAACCAGATAATAGCTCCTCATCATCAACCTACAGATGCGGAAACTCTTGTTGCGCTTGCTGCAGATCCAGACACTCGCCTTGCACAAACCACGTTTACTGCGATCTTAAGGCGGATGGAGGAGATAGAACAACGTAACTATCGTCAACGGGAAGAAGATGTTAGAAGGTTTCAAGAGATGGAGCAATGTAACAATCTTCAGCGAGAGGAAGATGTCAGAAGATTTCAAGAGGAGGGGCGTCTGATGCAGATAAGGAATCTGGAGCGTGCTGGAGATCGAATCCAAGATGGAGAAATCGCAGAAGATAAACTAACAGGGAGATTCATCAACCCAGGAATGCTAATGATCAAGTCTGGGTTAATACAGATCATAACCTAGACACTAGAATCCCGGCTATAATTACTGAAGGACAAGGAGTGGCTAACACTGGTGGGGTTGCAAATCCTAATAATCAGGTCCAAATTGAGAACACTGGTGAAGTTCGCAGCCGAAATAATAACCACAATGTGAATATGATAATTCCTACCCTAAATGCTAGATCAGGAAGGAATGTGGAGAACAACCGGGGTGATATGTATCACAACCGAGATATCCAGTTTCAATATAACCTGGATCAAGTACAAGGTCGTGTTGAAGCTGGTGCGTATAAGAGGAAATATAGTAAGGGACAATACAATAATAGTGCATTTACTAGTGAAATCCTTAAAGCTTCATTCCCAAAGGAGGTTGACTCGGCACACTTGTCGAAATATGATGGAAGTCAGGATCCTCAGGTCCACATTGACGCCTTTGACACTGATATGTATATCAGAGAGATTGATGAGCCCATCATTTCCCAGATATTTGCTATAACTCTGACTGGAGCTGCGCAGACATGGTTCTCAACTCTACCTGCAAATTCAATTGGATCTTTTGCACTTGGAAAAATTCGGCACCAATCTGGAGATACTCTCCAGAAATATTTGAACCGTTTTAAAGATGCAGCATTACAAGTTATGAGTTTACAAGAAAATGTTCATGTACATTTGATTGAAGCCAGCTTAGATGGTTCATCTTGGTTGGCAAAATCAATATATAAAGATCCAGTGAGAACTCTAGAAGAATTCAGAGCTCGATAAAAAAAGTACTTGGATCTGGAACAAATGGACATAGCAAATGCATCAGGAGAGGAAAAGAGGAACCAGAGTCCGAAAAGGAAAATTCCAGCTCCAAAGGAAAAAGAATGGTCAAGGAATAAAAAGAAAGACTTTCGAGGAAGAAACCCGGATGACAGATTTTGGGTAAGGAGGTATGAAAGGTATACTCCCCTAAATGTACCCCGGTCTCAATTATGGAAAGAAGTAGCAATGATCGAGATGAAGAAAGTATAGCGACCTCGGCCTATGTAACAAAGGAGGCTTGGATCAATCCAGGTATTGCGCATTTCGTAATGGACCTGGGCCCTCTACAGATCAGTGCTGGTGTAACAGCCCGTTACGTACCGGTATTGTTAACATTAATTATGATATTAAGCGCAGTTACAATCACAGCAGTTCATTTATGAAACGCGAATAAATTTTTTTCCGATTATTACGCGAGCATTTAAAACATAAAAAGGCGTAATAATTAAAAGCTGTGACCGTAACCATAAACTCTTGCGGAAGACTTATTTAAACTATTTTTATCACTTACGTTACTTATTATAAGTTACTAAGGAGTTCCCATAAACTCACTTAGCCAATTTCCAACTTTACGTTTTACACCAATTCGAATATGTTACACTCTAAGTTTTCTGCGACCAAACAGATCGCAACCAACCCTACTTCTCAGATTATATCTTTGTGTTACTTAATTCCCTTTTTAACAAGCTAAAATACGCTCAATTCGGAGCTCATTTGCTCCGGTTATCGCCGTTTGAAGTTGGATAAGCAATTAGCCCAAACAACCCCAAAAACAGCCCAAACCACTCACTTTGCCCGAATTACTGCACTCAATCGACTCAACCATTTGCTCTCAAATTTTTATCCTACAAACTAGACATCTCAAACTTCATTTTGATATATCACACGCTTAATTTGACGGAGAAACGAAGCGGGAATTAATTTCCCAAATCCGGTCCAGAATCTGCCTCAGGTGCAGGGGCACATGGGCAGTCCGTGTTTCTCTATTTATTTCAGGCCGAAGATCAACCCAGAATTTCCTCAAATTTTGACACAAGGTAGAGGACATCTCAACCTTCAAAATGACGTATGGCACGTCCCTAGGGGACCTCTATAGAGGGAGATATGCTCTTCCGAAGTTCGCCTAAAATCTGCCAATTCTACAGAAAATTCGCCAGAGTTTCCTTTGTTTTTCCAATAATCCCAAATTTGTAAAAGATCATTTAAAACCTCAATGTACCTAATAAACACATGATAATACAGTAATAATCCAATGGGTGGCACACACAAGGACCAACAACGCCTTGGGGCACTTACAACCCAATCCAGTGTATAGTTATTAAACATAGAGTCCATATTAATCATTCTTAAGTAGTTGCAATCACTAACACCTTTTTCATGCATATTTCCATCATACATATTATCATAACCTAAAATAGGCCTAAGGCCCTTCCATCATAATTAGACATGCATCAATACTATTACAATATGGCTTTACAAATTACAACTTGAAACTAAAACTTCAAATTACATTCTTCTAAAATTTCAACTTAATTTAAAAGACAACATAACCAAATACATCACTACTAGACTTAGGCAAAATGGCATGAACAAGATGCTAATGAAGCTACTAATAAATACAAATGACATGTTCATGCCCTAAGTCTAGCCTAGGCCACACGGCCAACAAAATGCAAAATAAGAAACGCTCCATCGCTCACTCTGCGGGCCTCTTGCCCGAGGCTCCTGCTCCACTGCTACCTCCTGAAATAAATGCCCCGAGACGGGGTGAGATATACGAATATATCTCAGTAACCAAGAGGTTCTGGAGAAAACTCCACCCAATGGTTCACTTCGATGCATATCAATAGAATACAACAACCACTTTGAAAACGGGATATAGCATGGGATTTAGAGAAGGGGGAATATAAAGAAAACAAAATACGACGATACGGGATGGTAACCCCAATTCCACGTACGCCCTCGGCATATATAAGCCTATGGGTATCATCCAAGGTGTGTTCACAGAAACCACAACCATGATGCCCAAACCAACCAAAACGCCAAAGACATTCCTAGTGTGCTCCTACCCGGATCACACACCATGACCGCAGTCAACTGGAACTCCCTCCTGGAGACCTATCCAGCGGAAGTCCGAAAATGCCCGAAGGCTAATAAAACTGTCTACTGGCCAGAGACTCGGTACATAAGTACCCATAGCAATAATGCATGCATGCTCATGTGTTCTATACTATTCATACACACTTCCTACCGTTGCCATCAACTGGCAAGGTGGAACAGAAAAGGGGAACAAGCCCCAGTACCAAGAGGTTACCTTAATTTGCGTTTCCACAAGCTCCGCAGCAGCTTATCCCTCAACTCGGTACACAGCGGAATGCCTACACAGAGGACATTCCCAATCACTCTCAGTTCAACCCATACACGTTAATTTATAATTACACATGTAATGAACCAATTTCTTACCTCAATCCACTTGGTCCCGGACCAAGGGCAATTCACTGATTCAAGATTCGGGATTCAGGTCGACGTACGGCAACCTATACAATAACGTACATCCATCAGTACTCGTCAAATAGTATCAAAACGCAAAAACACAAAAATCCTCCCCATCCTCCCTTGATGGTTCGGCCATTGTAGTGTAAATGTGAGATTTATTTTTCTAAATTTTCTTTCTCATTTTGTTACGTCTCATTAGGTTGTCAATAGGCCGGTTCAAGTGCCGGTTCGTCATTTTCGCGTCGAATTACA